ATTAGTTATTTTACTTTTATATATTTTTATAATTATTTATTTCACTTTTTGTAATTTTGAAAAATGTATAAATAGAGGTGCTATTTGAGCCTTAACTCGAATGTTGTAACTGAAAATAAAAATCTCTTTTAACAAAAATCTTCCTCCAAATACCTCTCATCTCTCATATTTTCTTTATACACTTTAAATTTTGTGTATAAGTAATTTTATATCATATTGAACTTATCAAATTGCTAATGGCTTTATATCATATTGCACCAAGCAAATTGCTATTATTAACCTTGAACTTTATATTATATTGTACCAAAAAATCATTATTATTGGATTATTGAGCTTTATATCATATTGTGCTGAACAAATTGCTGTATTAGAATTATTAAAATTGGATTTATAAATATTTTTACTTTTTATTATTTTGAATTTTTAATTGTTAATAAATATTCCTCACTTGTGAGAAGAACAAGTAAAAGAGTCTTTGTTATTATTATTACTAATCATATTACTTTAAGTTCTAGAAAGCTTTACGTTAGTATAAAATTCTCCTTCAAATCTCCTTTATTATTTCTTTATTCCCTTTCTCTTTAACCTTTACTCTTTCATAACTCTTTTACATTATTATTTCTTTTTAAGTTAATACAATTTCTGTAGAAATTGACATAGGTCTTAAATATTCCTCTTCTCTCTTAATATTTTCTTTATCAGTTTATACTCTCTCCCAATTCAGGTTCTTGTTTGTAAGCTAATTTAATGATTAATGAACAAACTTATAACAGTAATTTGTGATAAAAGTTCTTTGATTCCAAATATTTCAAAGATTTTCTTTGCAATATGAAATGGTCATTCACAAAATTTATGTTTTCCAATTTTTTGGTGAATAGATTTTTTCAATTGTTGTAAACACTTTCGATATTTTGGTGATCGGTTATGAAGCATTTCTCCAATTTTGAAATAGTATTCTAATTTCTGTTTTTCATCTTTTCTTTGATGGTATATTTTTCTTAAAGCTTTTTCTAGCTTTGCCTTCCAAATTTCATCAGTTGATTCAAATTAATGTTTCTTGGATTGTTGTTATTCGACGATTTGTGTTGTTGGTATTAGATTTATGAATTCAACTAGTTCTGTTATTTCAATAATTGATCCAAAAGAAATTATGATTTCTTCATAGAGAGTTGATTCATTAAAGTCTTTAAGAAATTCTGAACAGTCAAATACTTTAGAGGAAGATATAGATAGTTGTGGTTCAAAAGTAATAATATCATCAGAAGGGAAATTGTTGAGGAATTCTGAATATTAATTGAGTTCTTGAGTCATTATATAATATTGTTGTCCATTATCATCTTTGATCATAACTTCATGGATTGAGAAAGAGATTACTCTATTTGGCTAATATAAGAATAAATCTTCTACAGTGTGTACATATATGATCATATTCGTTGCTGATTGGCTAATTTAAGAATAGTATGTTAATTAAACTTCCCCTAATCATAATATCAGCTTTTCAGTATGATACTAAATTAACTAATTTATTAAATATTAACTGATTGTAAAACTGGATCAGGAACCCAGCAATGTAAACAGTATTTTTTAATTGCAAATTCTGCTGCTTGACCTGTCAAGCCTTTTCGGTACACATCCATATAGCAAAATGCTTTTCTTGCATATCGACAAATAGTTGTAAGTGGGATGGAAGCAAGAGTCAATGGAACAGTTCTTTGTAATCCTGTTCATGAGTAATCACAATGTGACTGACTAAATTTTTTGGCTGCATCCCAAAAGTTTTCAATGTAGTTGAGCTCACAATGAAACTTTGAATAAAATATAATTTGATGTCCAGCTGCAACAATGATCTCTTCTAGCCATCTCTTTTGTGCTAAAAAGTCTAGTTGTTCACTCATTACTTTTCATGCTTCTTCTAACTTTAACCCCTCATTCAGTAATAATTTCCTCTCAGTCAAAACTTGTTTTAATCCTTTTGACTATTCACGCAATTTGAAAATATGATAATCTAATGGAAAGACCATATCCTGTTGAATTCTTTCACCAAAATACGTGCTTCACATTTTCGGTTGCTTTTCACTAGAGCTAAGATTCATGTGCTTTGCAATAAGTGCATCTGATAAAAAAAGCAGCGTAACTTGATGCATTATTAAATGCAAACAAAGCCTGATATCCTGGAAAGCATGCTTCAAATATGGAAATAGCACATTCAACTATCTGGTTAACCAAGTTCTTGACCTTCCACCAACCATCATTATTTTTGTCTGGATGCATAATGATACAGGCTTCTCTAGAAAAGTTATTTGATGTTTGCATTTCCTTAGGAAGTGCAAGATGATCACAAACATCAGTCAAGAATTCGCTAACATGAATTGAACAATCATTATCTTTTTTTTGTAAAGGTTGTTCTCCATTAGGAATCCAAAGACTCTGACTTCCATCGTAAGCTGAGAAAATGCACTCATTGTATATAACAAGAATAAGTAATTGTACATTATTATCTGGCCAGGTTATCTCTTCTAAATTATCTTCTGAGAAAATGGGTATTTTATATTCAAGTTTACTCATTTTTTCTAAAAATATTTTTTGATAGATCACCACATCTTTCCTCTCATGTCTGTCTATATATACTCCTTTCTTCACCTTGGCATATGCATATTCAAGTTCTTTCAAATAATTTCTTGCTGTATTAAAATGAATAGTTGAAGATGGTGCAAATTCAAGTCCTGGCAAAATAATTTTGTTTATCTGTATCATTAACATTTGTGGGATAATTTATGTTCTCGAATATATGATTTTACTTGAAGAAGGATGTTCTCATCCCAGAGAAAGCTCCATATTTTGGCATGATGTTCTCAGCGAGAGTAGGGAATTTGATGAGTCATTATGTACTCATGTGTCCAAGAATGAATATATTTAGCATGATATACTCCTTTTCCTACTGCATTAGCAACAATCTTACTTGCTTTTATTTTTGGATAGCTGCATTTTACAAGTTAAAGATAGAGATGAATGCCATTTAGACATATCCAAATCTCACTATTCACATTTTCCTTTTTGATATCTAATACCAGGTTTTCAAGAGCTGCTGGAAGTTTATTATGCCAATTGCAATTCTCATCCTCATTATCTGATTATCTGTCAATATCATTATTTGCTTTTACATTAGTTTCATCAGCCAGCTCCTTATCAACTTTCTCAGCAGATCTCTTGGCATCCCAAAAGGTATGCAATGTAAGAGTTTCTTTTGTTGCCTCACACTGTTGTTGATTCTTTCTTCTTTTAGTATGACTTGAGTTTCCTATGTAACATAGTCTACGTGCTTCGTGAGAAGCATGTTTCTGATAATATTCTTTTGCTGCTTCTTGAAGTTTTTTAATAATACTTACAGCATTATCATTTTCCACTGGCTCATCATGAACAGAAAAACTATCAACATTGACATAATCATCCAGCTCATCATGGAAAGAAGCATTGTCAATATTAGGATAACTTTTAGAATTATCATTGATAGATACATTTTTGATATACTGATGTGTAACCTTTGCTTCATAAGCCTTTCTTGAATGTTTTTGACATTTCGTTGGATGTGGCATATTGGTAAGAGATCTTTCCTAATGAAATCTAGCTAGCATGATTGATTGTTACTTTTATTTAATAATCAACAAACTTCAATTGTAATAGGGGGTGGGAGCTTAGACTGAATTATTTACTATTAAAAAGGTAGATTTCTGAAGTTCTAAGAACTTCCTTGTGATAATATCTACAGGTAATGTTAATTTCACTGATTAGTAATGACTTCAGTTAAGAGGTGAGTGATTTCATTTATTTATTTATTTACAAGTGTATTTCGTGTCAGTCCTATATTTTTTAATGCGTTCTTTTTATTTTATTTAAATTTGATCCTTATTGATCACAATTTTTATAATCATTATAATATTTAAATGATTATTATAATAAAAATGATTATAATTATTAATAAATAATTGTTCTTTTTTTGTACACAAATAAGGGCTTTCATTTATTTTGTGGTATTCAGTATCTGATTATCTTTTTGTTAGTTCTATCACTACTATCTTTTTATATATATATTATACGCGCAATTAGATAATAATAATAATAATAAAAAATTAAACATTTCCTGATCAGTTGATTCTCCCTAATTCAAATATTAATTATTATCATGTTACAGTGAGACATGCAGATCACGGTTGTGGAATCATGTGAACATGTGATCTGGGAACTCGAATTTGCATCAATAAAATTACAATGTTACTATGTCCTGTAATAGCAGATCAACATTTCAAATTTGGTCACTTAAAAATTTTTTGGTTGGGACTAATTTGTACATACTGTAGCATTTTGATGAAACATTCTTTTATACATGGTGAGATTCATCCAGGTAAAGACATTGTGAAAATAAAGAAATTAAAAAGAGAAATTTTAAAAGAATACAAATAATTTTGAAAGTGATAATTTAAAAGAAAAGTTCAGAAAGAGGTGTTCTATTTATAATATTTTCAAAGAGAAGATAATATTGTTACCATTTCCATTGGTTTATTAACTTTCAAGTATAAATCATGTATTCTTCACATGTTTCAATTAAGTGGGAGAGTTATTAAAGGCTTTTATGTATTTAAAATAATTAAAGTTGGGAGAGACTAATTTAATAAAGGTAGGTAATGACGTGTTTGTTTTGTTGAACTACTAGAATGAGTTCAGAAATCTTCTTTTGATTTAAATAGTTTAATTGTTAAGTAATCTTTTTTTATTGATTAACTTTTATTAAAAT